TGTTTGAATTTTAAATTTTATAGTTGATTCTTTTATACTCTTTTTTACAGCCAAAATACCTGCCAAGATTTATCAAGTGAGTATATATTTTCTTAATTTGCATTTTTCTTGTAATGGTGAGTACTAGAACTACAAATTTTATGTCCAGGAAACAAATGGAGACAGGTGCCAGTATAGTTACTGGAACTCGATATGTTACTGGTGGTGGTGTCCACGGATGGAACCTTATGCGCAAATTGACAAGTAGGGGAGCAAATGTCCTTGCACAGACATTACTTTGGCCGGGTGTATCAGACTTAACTGGATCCTTCCGGTATGCTTTAACTTGGAAGTAAAGGAAAATCAGTGGTTCTATGAATTGTAATGAATGTGTTTAGGAAATGTAATTGCATAAGAGTTTGCTTAGATTAAGATTACCTCTTAGTGTCTGGGACTCTGGCTTGGAGATTATAAATCTAATAGTGTGATGGATTGGGAGATAACAATAATAGATGTTAGACTTCCTATAATATAGGAGGGAAGTCTACATAGAAAAGCAAGAAAGACACCATACTTTTATATGGAGAATTGATTTGGTCTCAGGAATCATTGTTTTGTGTATGATTTTGTTATTAAGCAACTGAATTATCATTACGTAATTTACTCTTATACTGGAGCTACCATGTGCCTTTTATACACTGGTAATGCTCACAGCTTTTGTAATTTGTAAAATCGGTGTCTGAAATTGAATTGCTTGTTTTGAAGGCTGTACCAGAAATCTGCACTAGAAGACATCATAAGCTCTTGTGTAAGTAAAGGATATGTTTTTCAGATGGAGATGATTGTTCGGGCTTCAAGAAAAGGTTACCGCATTGAAGAGGTAGCTAGAGTCATGAATTTACTGTTGAATACTAATTGATCCACCGTATTATCATTTGGTTGGACCAGAAAATGTGTTCTCGTTTCTCATCTTGCTATTCATTGCACAATTTATGAGCTCCGAAATGCTATTCTAATAGAAATAATGATCCAACCTAATGGCAGTTGTGAAGCATTTAGTGTATCTTCTCTCTCTCTCTCTCTCTCTCTCTCTCTCTCTCTTTCTCTCTCTCTCTCTCTCTCTCTCTCTCTATCTATCTATCTATATATATATATATATATATATCTAGAATGCTCTGGGAAATTCATTCATTTTGTGTTCTATTAGTTTGCATTTCACTCAAATCTGATTCCAAAATGTGGTTTTGGCCTCTGAATCACTGTTACGCTTTGAGTGAGTGATCCTTGCATTGCGTTAGTCTTTCAACTGAGGAATTTCATTTGAGATTGCTGGTTCTGCTTTTTACTTGATTGGTTCCAGTCCGCGAAAGTTAAAGATCTCAGTGTTTGTCAGCAAAGCCATTCCATTTTGAGGTGAATCACGTAATTAGGGATGGTGATTCTTTATAACAGGTATCTGAGCTGAGATTGTTGGGATTTAGATCTGTATCTGTAGTTGATCTAAGTGACATAGAAGTTGAAGTTTGATCTGCTACCACGTTGGCTGATATTGGTGCCCTTTCATTTCATCGTGTGATGGAATGAGCAAGGGAGAAAGGATTACCGGCCATGTACTCCATAGTTTGGTTGCAGAATACTAGTAGCTAATCAAATCTGATCTGTTGGTATATTCGTTAGGGTCACTGTGATTAGTTTAGACGAGGTAGTTGAGACGTGGAAAATGGTGGAGCCTCTACTATTTCATTCTCGGGTGTTACCACCTTTCCACATAGAGTGGTGATGAGGAACTGTCTGTTCTTCCAGGTCACACAAAGTTATAGTGATGGGAAACAACAGAACTATTGAGTGTTTTGCTGGGGCTTCAGGGAGTTGTCAGGAAGGCTGTTGGGCTTGGTGGTTGGCATTGGCTGGTTTGAAAAATGGGTTCAAGCTACAAAGAAATGCATTGAATGTGCTAGAACCTCCCGGGGGTGGGGGNACCATCACTTTGCCGCTGGTGTGCGTACAGAAAAGTGAACAACCTACGGTTCATTTACGACACCATGGCCTTATCTGGACCAGCAAAGATAATGAGCCATGACAGCAAAGTTGAACCTAACTATTTTGCAGCCGAGGTGAACTTGGCAAAACTATGAACTGGTTCATTATGGAGGTGCTAGCGAAACTTCAACCAGCACATAAAAATGATCAGCTGCTTAGTCCAGTGCAGTAGCACTTCTCGATGCAGAGAGTCGACGAGGCACAAGTGGTAGTGGATTTATCCGCAGCCGAGAGATTAAGATCAGATCACACACACACATTGAGATTTTATGACAGGGAAAGTTGAAGGTTGGATTTTTATCTGCAATATATGCATATAGAGTAAATATTATGAACCTATTAACTCAGTTCAGCTAACTTTAGACTACTAGTGGAGACTGGGAGTTTCTTTGTTAGCTATCCCCCAATTAACTCTTGGATCCTAACCTTGTATTTTGCAACGGTGACCCGTTTGATATTTATAACCATCATTCCAAGAAAAATAAAGAGTCAACCTGCAGGAATATATTGTGATTCTTTTACGGCTATGAGAGCTCTCTTTATTAGTAGAGTATTATTTTTCCTCAGTCAGTCAACCCCCCCCCCCCTTCCCCC